TCTGCCAGAAAGTGTTGTGACGGCACCGAGTGTGAACCCTTTCAAGACAAGACTTGACCAACACTGGAGCAGGTTCAGGTACATTCAGTAGCCGGTGCATGCCCAGTACTTGCCAACAGTGCGTAACAGAGACGTGACCGATCGCCCAAGCGGCTAACGAGCCGATCAGTGGTGAAGAGGATAAAAGTAAAAAGTAGAAGGGAGCTAAAAAAAAAAGGACAGAAAGGGTAATTTTTTGCTGTTCTTTTTAATTACAAAAATATAGGACAAGCAAGTCTCAAAAAGGACAGCTTGTCCTCTAAAGGACAGACCTGGCAAACCTGGTCCGGTTGTCCGACACGACCGACAACATGAAGCAGCCTTAGATTCCTGCCCCCCACCCCCTTTCCCCCCCACCACACCCCCTCCCTCTGCTGCCGAGTCCGAGCGTGGTGTAGCTAGCTGTCTTAATCAATCACGGCACTGCCCCATCGCCTTCACGCAAGATGTGTTAAGCCACAGCACCTTTTTCTCTCAATAAAATTCCCTTCCATCCTCCCTTTATCCTTCCACTGAACCTTCCCAGTAAATAAAATTTATAATAGAAAATACAAACTTGAAAATTCAATAATAAATAATAATAATATAATAATAATAATAATAATAATAATAATAAAAATAATAATAATAATAATAATAATAACACATAATAATAAGAAATACAAAATGAAAAAACATATAAAATGAGACACAATATATGCATGTTGTGTTGTCAATAATGAAGAAACAATTGAGTCCCTGCAATTTTTTTTTACGTGAATTAACCAATTAACCAACTTGGGCACAGATCAGACGACCCACAACGGAGCCTGGGGGCGAAAAAAAAAAGAACAGAAGAAATTGAAAATATAGAAAAAAGGATTATACTGTGTTAATCTACCACGAGATGCTTGAAACCGGCACTGAAAGTGAGACAGATTGTAAGAGCATGGAAACACAGAAAGAGGCCAGAGCATTCCCACAGATTGGCTGTGAGGAAAGAAAGGAGGTACTATAACGGGTTATTCTCGTGTGACCAAACATCCAAGAGAAATGGTAGGCACCCCGGAGCAAGACGTGTGTTACAGGCCCCAGCGCCGGCGGTACACAGGATGCAAATCCCTGAACATTGTCGTTAAAAAGAACCTGTAAAGAGAAAGTGAAGTAACATTGCGGCGAAGAAAGGGAAGATTGTCGACTAAAGGAGAGTTAATAAGACAGAAATGCCTTTGGTTCACCCCTATCTAATAGTTGGACAGAAGAGCCACCCCAGATATGGGGAGCAGTACTCCAAGTTAGGACAGATAAGATCATATATATGAGCAACTGCTCGGGGTAGTAAGCTGCATCTGTACAGCATTCCCAAACCGGAGGCAGCTTTAGTTATACTAAGGATGTGTGATTTCCAGGACATATTGGAGAAATGGTGGGCCCTAACATATTTATTTCAGAATTTGGGATAGTAGCGTCCTGAAATGTAATTGGTGGAGATCGTCTACTTTACAAAAGTGTAATTGGTAAATATTGAGTTTGTTACTATTGAACTTAGCAAGTTTGTATCTCCCCATTCAGAGATGCTGCACAGATCCGCGTTGATAGAAGTAATGATATCAGCTCTAGAAACAGATCTGAATTTGAGAGTTAGGAGAGGGGAAAATGTGAGGAAGAAGAGTGAAGAGTAGAATCATCGGCGTAAGAATGGATAGAATTAGTTGTAGTGTGAAGTAAATCATTGATAAAAGAGAAGAAGAGTTGGTGAAGAACAGAACCCTGTGGGACGCCACTATTGGTAGAAAAGAGCGAGAAATCGATCCCTCGACAACAACTGCCATGGATCGATTCTCAAGGAAGCAAGATGAGAGAACAAAGTGGAAATAAAGAGAGTTTAGATAGCAAGACTTGTGCCATACCCTGTCAAATGCTTTGGAGATGTCGAGGGCCACGACAAAGAAGTTTCCCCATAATCTAAGAGGATGACCAAAGATGGGTGCAATAGGAGAGCAGATCACCCAGTAGATCTTGCCTGGTGAAAGCCACACTGGTGATCAAACAAAAGAAAAAGGCGTTCAAGGTGACGGAGGAGAAAATGGGAGTTCAAGATAGTTTCGAAAATCTTAGAGAGGGATGAAGTTAGAGACGTGGGAGGCGTGGTTAGAGGGATTAGAATGGTCACCCTTCTTGGGATGGAAGCTGAACCAAGGCATGCTTCAAGAAAGAAGAGGAAAATTTTGGTTTTGAGAGGCAAAGGCGAAAGGGCGAAACAAGCACAGGGAGGCCAGAACTTCAAGCACACTCCCTCAGAACACAGCGAGGGTGTCCGTCAGTCCATGCGCCTTACTCACATCCAACCTGGATAACACAGCAACCCTGCAGTGGAATTATGGGAAAATGCGCCAGGTTCAGTAGGAGTGCAGGGGTGGGAGGGGTAGAGTGGGAATCGTCTACAAGGTGGAATTAGAGAATAAGGTGCCAAGAGGTTCGCTTTCTCCAGGGGGAGGATTGGCTACTTTCAGAGTTATTGGGACGGAAGAGGGGAGGGAAAAGAAAGGCGTGCAGAAGTTGTTACAGATGTTTTTAGCTCAGGACCAGAAGGATATACTAGAAGGAAGAATTAGTCGGGACAGCAGTCTTTCTTTTAATAAAAATTCCCTTGGCCCTACGAAAATAGCCTTTAACGATTCCTAGAAGTAATAGAAAGAGGTGTGGATAATAGGAGAATGGTTTCGCAGCTCGATATGCCCTATCTCACCCTGCAAGCAAGAGCAGGAGCGATCAAACCATGATTGTAATGTGAAAGTTTTGGTAGAAGATGGGATAAAATGCACTCATACCGCCCTGTATAACCCCAGCTAATGCTGTCAACAGCTGACTGAGGCATCCCAGTGGAAAAACATTCATCCCAAGAGAACAAGGTGAAAAGAAATTCTGTAAGGTTATGGCTTCCCGCCCTCGATAATTACCATAGTTGACGTTTAGAGGTGGGGGTGGTCATTACTTTGATTTGATTTAATAGAAATAAAGATTTGTGATCAGAAAGACCTAAAGAGGCAAAAATTAGTATATGAATAGTGTGAGGGGATAGGAGTAAAACAAAAGATCCAAGAATGTTGTAAGAGTTAGTCGTGTCGATCAGGAACTTGCTTGCGTGTGGGGTGTTTGACTATTTATTTCCAAATCATTAAGTAAGGGAAAAATTCTCCCAGCTCCGCTGGGTGCATCCTTGGGGCCTGACCTCTCTGTGATGTTATTGAAATCCCCTAGGTAAGAGGATCTCGGTGTTGGGGTGTGTGGATAGCAACGACTCATGGCAAAGTGGGGTAGTCAAAGAGTTCGAAATAGTTGGTAGGGGTGGGGAGGGGGCAATTATAGGGAAACAAAGAAAAATAGTCACCGTGAGTAGAGATATTTTTAAATTAAAATGACATCACTCAAGGGAGATTCAAGATCCGTGGGTCAGGCTACCGAATTGTGCGTGCTGCAGTGGCTGTACCTCCCTTAGAACAGAGTAAATTCTCCTGAGGTTGTAGTTAGAGACTTGAAAAGGTTTGGGTGAAGCTGCTTTGGTCAGTTGAAGTTCGGAGAGTAGTAAGAGATCGGGGGAAGAGGTTAATAGATGGTGCTCCACAGAAGAAAAATTGGATCTCAGTCCGCGAATGTTGGAGAAATGAAGCGTGAAAAAAGCCGATCCTCCAGCAACCGTAGTGGCGTCAGTTGAGGCCCCAGTAGCTTGATGATGATCAGGTCGGCCCTGGGGTCCACAACCTTCCCGACCAGTGGGACCCATCCGAGAAGGCCCCGCTTCAGTATTAATATCAACTGACATAGGAGAATAAAATAGAATGAATAAAACAGATCAAGAATGGGTAAGGTTTTAGTTGTGGTGTTGTCAATAGTAGGAGAGACAGTTAAGACCCTGCAACTGAGTGTAAATGAGGCAGAAAGTCAGATCAGCAACCTGGGACTTGGTCACAATTTTCGTGGTGCCATATGGCACATTGTACTGGGGATGAGGCACCACAAACCTAGATAATCCCGGGGATAAAATGGTCGTCTCGCTGTAGAACTTTATTGAAAAGTCCCACAACACATCATAATGCCCAGAGAAAGGTCCCACGAGCATAATCACCACACCTTTTTAAGGTGGTCCAAACGTAATTTGCCCTGAATCTGTATACTTGTTTAACTTCAGGGGTTTAAATTTAACAATACATTAGTCTCATACATATAGTTTGAAAAACATTTAAATTAGATACCTATTCACAGCTGGGTGATCTTGGGGTATCCTTGGGGTAAACCGGTAACAATATATTTCTTACACGCAGATATTATTGGTGGTACAGTATCTGTAATATTTTAAATATTTATTCTAGACTTATTTCGAAATCTGAAAACCAACAATCGAAGACGACTGCCTCAGAACATGATTTTTTTTATACTTTATAAAGAAACCGCTACCTCCAGAAGGAGTAGGCTTACACTAGTTCGATTACGTTCATTTTTCCACAATGTTCTTACTATTATAGTAAGTATTTTAAAAAAGGCGACAACTTTTTATTTTCATAATAAGTATGATTTTTTTTTTTTTTTTTTTGCTCTATGATCATAAATCACCTGTAGTGGGCAGGGTATGAAGGATGAGGGAAATTTTGGATAAAAACACGATGAAAAACTGATCATATGACACTAAAATGATGTCTCTACGTGTTTTGTACGCGAGGAAATTAATTATTCACCGTAAATACTCATCCGAAAATTCAGCCGTCACCGTGTGTCGTCAGTGTACAACTCATGTCCATACACCGTGATGCTTCAGCCAAGTTGCTTTTATTGGTACCAGATATCAAAATAAATACTCTGCTTTCTGATTTGTATGGCTGGGGATCAGGGAGCCTAGGAAGTTAGGTAGGTTAAGTCCGGTTCCATTAGGTTCTAGTAAATGTCGCCTATTTTAAAATACTTACTACTGTAGTACTGTATAATGATAAGAACATCTGTGGAAAAAAATGAACGAGATCGAACAACACCTGGCAGTAGAGGTGTTCTCATACATTAACGATTATCTGTTTGTCTTTTATTAAGATTTTTGTTATTGGTTGGATCACTTATGTTGTTTCCGTGTCTCAGCAGAACCAGCAGCTGAAGAGAGAGGATGCCTGGGAAGTTTCCTCAACTGGTGGAGAGGAGTCATGTCAAAGAATTCCTAGACAGCTTTGACATAGTTCTTACTGACTGTGATGGTAAGTACTGTCAATATCTGGTAAAGGATGTAATAAGAATTGAGCAACATTATGCAACAACTGTAAAAGTGTGACTAGAGCATTTTTGGAATCTTTTAGAAGTTGATGTAGGCAATTAACAGCTTAGAAGTGGTTTTTAAAGGTCTAGTTAGGTTATTTAATGTTGTTTAGTCAGGAACAAGTGAAGATTGGAGTTATGGAATCACTTGACTCCCCACAGGTACCATAGTCCAGAATTCCCAAACTATGCTGCTCACATCTGAAATTGTACAGGTATGAGTTCTGAGGGTGTGCATAATGTACAATTTATCTGTAAAATTATAGTTTCCGTCATCCCTATGTGTTTCCGATGGTTTGGGCGTGTTTTGAATTATATTGATCTAACCTAACCTAGCCACAGAACCCAGGAGCTATATCTAACCTAACCTAAATTCCTAAGATTCCTCAGATGACCCAAACTAAAATATAACCCAATTTGTCTTTATACAGGTAGTTAAAGACTTAGTGATTATTATGAAGTTTGGCAATATTTGACAACCTATAGTATTACCACGCTAAGCTGTCCCGTAAGCCATGCCCTTCATCTATAGCTACAAATAGCTGATTGGTTCCTCAGAGTATTTGACCTGTGGGTTATTACCCGGAAAAAAATAAATTACTGGGGTATATTATTTTAGATAATAACAGTTCTGCTTACCAATTGTGAACACGTTTAGTTTGAATTTTCTACGAACCAATCAGCTATTAGTACAGAAGAGGGGCGTGACTTATGGGCCAGGTTGGTGTGGAAAGAGTACAGTCACCAATACCACTACAGTAAGCTTACATTGTTGAAGATGATAGTTATTTTATTATACTTGATATAGTTAACTGGTCTGGTATGGGAAATGTGAAGAAACGTTGATGTCTATTGGTACGGCTCATGTGTGGGCAGACTATACAATGATATTTTAGTTATTAAGATGCCCTTCTTTCTGACTAAGCTAACCTAACCATACCATTAACATCACAGTCTGCCAATATGGCTGCTGTACCTATATCCACTACATTTTAAATTTACTGCGGGAATGGCAAGTAGACTTTGCTATCATTCGTAATAGAATTGTAGTTCAGTCGTCATTTTTGTCTGAACAATACATTATGCTGAAGACAGTGATCACGGAAAGCTTGTTTTTTTCATCATTTTATGGCTGCCGTGAGACTGTGGCATTTAACCATTTATAAAAGATGACATGAACCTAACCAAACTAAGAGATCACCTAAGCTTGTACAGTAATGTTATGTTGGTTAGGTTGGGTCACTTTGTCACGTCATCATTTATAATACAGTATCCCTATCATTTGATTCTAGTCTCATAAATCACCAAATTTCAACAGCTGACTCAATGCTTGTACATATTCATTTATGCAGGGTACCAGTATGCCTGAGTTCATGGCCATTTATTCTAGTTTATTGCCAGTTTTCTTTAAAAAATTGGTAAAACCCTACTGCACATATTAAGAGTACAGTGACATCTCCATTAGTCGGAACAATTGGTGCAGAGCACTTCCGGGAATGAGAGATTTCCAGGTAACGAGACGACTCTCTCGAAACCGGAAAAATATCGCTCATCCCCGTAATTTTCTGGGTAACGGAAAATTTTTCTTTGAATTCGCAGAAAATGCACCTGATTTTCATCTCTCAAACCCAGAAAAAATTCTCCATTCCCGGAATTTTCTGGAATTTTGCAGGTATCAGGAAAATTTTCTCGGAATTTTCCGGAAATTGTGCCCTTCGGAAAATTTAAATTCCATGTATCGGAGAGTTCAGGATTGAGGGATTCCAGCTAACAGAGATATTGCTGTACAAAGGTTAAGTACAAATTACTGAATGATAATTGAAAAATAGGATGCCTCTTAATACTGTACTAGAATATACATTTGGTGTTTATGTGCTACAAAGAGTATCTAAAAAAATTTTTTTTTGCTAGACAATAATTCCAACAGACAAAGGATTTTGACAACCCAATCGAGACAACAGGTGTCATAGTGTTCATTTTGACATACATCGGACCCCACCTTGCAGATAATTTCTGTAGCGAGCATACTATACATTATTGTGTTCTGATTCATTTTAATGCTGATTTCCAGTGTTTTATGTTTTCTAATTTTAAACACATTTATTATTATTTACAAGCAGTGAAATATGATGTTCGATAATCTTCATTGTATCAAAAATTATTCCAGTTTGTATTGCCATAGCTTTTGTGAACTCTTATATGGGGTTTCACAATTTGGGAAAACTTAGAGTTTGGAAATTCAACACAACAGTGTATTATTATTGTTAAGGTGTTTTTGATCAGTTTGATTGGCTGTAGCTACTAGTGTCAGGGTCTTCTGGCTCTAAATCTTAAGTCTTCACTTTGGACTTGGACAGTAGATGGAATTTTAGGATCTGTTCTTCATTTATGATGTTAGAAGTGATTACACACCACTTATACAATTCCCAAATACCTGTAGATGACTTTTTTTTGCAATGACAATTTAAACTCTCATAACCTAACGTATTCGTCTAAGTGGGATGGCAAAAAATCACAAAAAACAACAACACAAAAACAGATAATCAACCAGATGGGAACAGAATGGTAAAACATGGAACCTGGGGTACAGTATATAGAACTAGCACAAACACCGTATTACTGGGTAATCTTTACAGACTAAATTCCGCAATAATCAAAGAATGCCAACCATAAAGAGTCAGATATTAATTAACACATGTAGACTAAGATTGAAGAGTAGTACTGTACAGTGATCTGCTATAACGCGTGTTTTGATAACGCGAATTTGCTCTAACGCGATTTATGAATTAGGTACGATATTTGTATAACGCGAATGCTTGTTTGCTATAACGCGATTTTTGCTTACTATTTCTCCAATTTTGTGGTACAGTATTAACTGTGAATATAGTAAAGAAGAATATCAACAAGAAGCGTTCTGGTGATAGAATTCCCGGTGATGATCGTAAAAGAAAGGATATAACACTTGAAGAGAAGCTCGATTTTATCAACCTCAAAATCACCCTTCTCCCCCATCAAGTAAAGTGTTACATTTACTGTATGATTTCATTATTAGATATGAATGTAACATTTATTTAGACTGTGCTATCCTTTGTGTTAGGCTAACTACTAAATTTTTTCGATTTCGAGTAATCTGCACCTAACCCTATTTTCTCCATAAGCCCTGTTATTTCTATTACGCGATTTTCTATAACACGATATTTTACAAGAACACAATTATCGTTATAGCAGAACTATGTACTAAAAAAAAAATTATTGTAATAGTAGAGCGACACTGAAAACTTGCTTCTGTTGTGTGTTGTAACAATATTAGCTAGAGCAAACAAAAGATTTGTTCTATAATGGGAGAGAACCAAAGCTTCCATCAGCAGTGAAAGACTAATGACAATCTGGAGTACGAATGCAACAGGAAATTTTTTTCTTTTCTGAGGTAAATGATTGTTCAATATGTATCAGGTGATTATTCCATTGAACAAGTATATTTTGCAGTGCTTGTGGTTCTTGTCAGAAATTAAGGTCAGATGTTTTCAGGGTTGGCAAAAACCATTTTTTTTTAATTGTTAGGTTAGGGTAGGGCTTTTTTATTGGATACCTAACTAACCAAAAATACAAAATTCATCATACAAGTTTACATTGATCCAGTTTGTATGTAGACAATATGGGTACACAGTGAATATATACAAGGAATGTGGGTATAGAAACAGTGTTCAACATTAAGGCAGTTTGACCAAGGATAACCAGCAAAGCCACCAGATGCTTATTTCCAGTAGTGTTGAGATCTTTATGTTGCATTAAGAACCAACCTCTCATCCTTCCATTGCTGTTAGATATTGATTTAGTGCATTTACAGTCTCAATAAAGTATCTTAAAAAAGAAAGTTACTTTAAAAATACATACTGATGTGTAATGTTCTTGTTAAACAATTATTTTTATCTCTTTCATAAGGTTACAAATGATGTGGGTAGAGTAGAATCAAGTCAATTAGAAGTGTTACAGTTGCGACCAAAATTACCAAAACGGAAGTAATGTCACACCATCAGTGCTGCTACACACAGCCAAGAAAATCCTACAACCCAAGAAAATAAAAACATTTCAGGCCTTATGACACCAAGAGTATCCATCATGGACGATCACGAACTATACATGGCAGAATTTGCGGATGAAATACTGAGCAGATCCTCAAGCAGCAAGATGCTCAGTGAAGACAAGTTCCTCGCCATCATTAGTCATCTCCGTAATCCTCAGGAGAAGGTTTCTCCCAAGTTCAAGTGGTGGGTGAAAACAAAGTGCTTCAGGCTCCTTGACCTTCCCAAACATGGCTTAAAAGATGTCCTCGTGATCCCAAAAAAAGGTAAGCTGTGTCCTTGACCTTCCTGAACTTAATTGAGAAAATAATGTTATCTTTTCTATAAAAAGGAATAAAACAGTCTCCAAAAATGAAACATTGTATTGTACAGTACAGGTATTCCCGAATCTCAAATTTTTTTTATATCTTTCTTTCACTGAATATTTTAAGGATCTCCTGGGTTTCCAGGCTTTGTTGTTTAGAGTCCAAGTGAGGCTTTAGTTAATCTTAGTCCTAGTTGAAAATATCCATAAAAACTCTTTGTTTACCTTAGTGCAGTATGCACTGTCAACTGATTTGAAGTGATAAGGATTACTAAGCTAAGTGTACCTGTGAAGTGTTAGGTCTGTCCAGTTACCCTACTTTTTATACATGTCACACAACTCTCCAACAACTTCCCCTCTTTCTATTAAGTTTCTGTAACTCTTAATCTCTCTGTCCCATTACAAACGATAAAGGAGGAATAGAGATAATATTTACAGTACAGTAGTTAGAAAGTATTATGTTTATCATCAATACCAGTCCTGAAATTTTATTTCTTATTTCACAGGAGCAACAGTTAGTCGGTCATCACGGAGTTACCTTAAAGTGGTCAACACGTGTAAATTGTATCATATTATACACAAGTTACACAGTCAGTCTATCCCACACACCGGCTACAAAAAGATACTGAGGGAAGCCAGCAAAGAGTATTATGGGATAGCAAGGAGCTACGTTCAGCAGTATTGTAATACCTGCCCCACCTGCCAGAGAGTTGGTCCCACTCCTCCTGTTAAGCATGGCACAAGCAAGAAATTTCTAGATAGATATCAGGTAGGATAAGGCTGTGAACCTCTTTATGAAATTTTCCTCCTCTTCCTTCTCATGCTTTTGGGTTTTTGTATTTGTGCAATACGTTTTCATTAAGAAGTATTTAAAAATATTTGCAAATAATTAATCATTAATCTCATTAATAAACAATTGGACTTTATGCATTGTTGCTTATACTGTACAAGTATGTACACTCAAAGTTAAAACTTGCATTACACTTACCATGACTTACTGGTATGTTTTGAAACCCATGATGAAGAATTTTGATAAAGTTCAGGCTTAAACCTTGAAGTTTTGCTGTCACTTTACCTAAATTCTTCATCATGAGTTTTGGAACAGATTGCTAGGGGGTGTAACATCACTTTTTTCTTTGTTCATATTGTATGACCAGTAAGTTGTATATTTACATATCTCTCTCTCTCATGTATGTGTGTGTTAATGTACAATATAATACAGGGGTACCTTTTATAAGACCATACAGTACATTAATTTAATAAGTGTTTACTCTTGAGAAATCACTCATATCATTAAATCTTTTTCAGATTAACCTCATCAGCATGATCCACTGCCCTGATGGCTCTTACAACCACATAGGACATGTTACAGACCACATCACAAAGCTTCATGTGCTGTTTCCTCTTAAGACCATTACAACAGATGAAGTTTCTACCATGATAGAGGAACGGGTGCTGGCCTATCTAGGACCTCTCCATATGTTCCTCAGTGATGTTGGTAGGAAGATTCTGAACCTGCATACCATAGACTACTTCACTCACTGGCCGGGAGATGATGGAGAGAGAAACAGTCAGTTAATCGAAGATGAGCTCACCAAAATGAAGGCGAAGAGCTCCTCAGATGACTTCCCGTGGGCCTCCTGGCTGCCTCGCATCATGTTCAATTTAAACACAGCAGTTCACAGTCACAAAAGAGAACAGTGTTTATGAGTAACTCCTGCTGCCAACCTCGCAGACATGTTTTCCATGAAGCAGTGTTGCTATTCATGCAAGGAAGGTTTTTACCAGGAAGTTGAAGAGGAAAATCCAATCAAGCTCATTAAGAGGCAAGCCATTCATCCACCATTACAGTACCAGCAATGAACCACTGAAGTGTATTATTTAAAATACGAACAACAGAAAGGTCTAGAGGAATTTTTTTTTTTGGGGGGGGGGGAGAGGGAAGTGAGAGGGAGTAAGTGAAACAAAGAACAAAATACATTAATATATATCAGTATTTGTGGTAGCTGCAGGAAAAAAATCAACCCACCAATCATGCCTTTTGAAAGAAAAACAAATAAAAATGAATTCATCTTTATTTTTATTTTGACCTTTGATACCAGATATTTTAAAGAAGGTTATAGAACTTAATAATAATAACTCAACCTAAATGTACAGTATACTATAGTTTCTACAGTTTTTTAGATAAGAAATACTGTACTGTACTCCAATGTATATTTGGGTACAGTACTAAGCAAGAATATTACATTTTGATCATTATTTTGACTTAATCATAAATACAAATGCAATACAATGAACTGAAAAAATATCCCAATATTACCATGCAATTTAGAAAAAATAAGTGATACAGCAGCTAATAACTGTTCAGTATTGTTTTAACATCATAAATTTAAGTGGTGATGTTTACTGTAGTACTATACAGTTTTCAAAATCTTGTACAACTTCAGAACACAGCACTATGGGAACACTGGATTATGGAGACTGGAGTAGAAGTCCATTACAATATTGCAAGATGGTTTAGAAGTTATAATATGATACTTCTGGAGACACAGATATTCCAAGAAGTTGCACCACATACCTGTGCATAACACTTAATTAAGGTGATGAATGATTTTTGTGTAAGCTCAAGGTATGTCCTGTTAGAATACCCGGTATACCAGCTTGGATTACTCACCCAACTTTTTGTTGTTTAATCCAGAATACATTGTGTAGCATACTGATACATAAACGTGGATGTTCAATAAATAATATTTATATTGATTTTTAATTCTAGGAGTCTTGTGGTGTGCTAATGCTCCAATAGGCAAAGCAAATGAAGCCTTAAACCAACTGAGAGCTTTAGGGAAGAAAATCTTTTATGTTACCAACAATTCTTCAAAATCACGTGAAGAATATGCTCAGAAGTGTAAGAAACTTGGCTTTATTGCTGACAAGGTAATGTAATACATTTTATAATGTGATGATATTCAGTACTTGTTTACAACACTCTCCTCTACTATGTTCTGTCTTTGAGGCCCCTGTAACTGTTGCTTTACAATGCAAGCAAAAGGTAAAGAATTGTAATACTGTAATTACTTAGTTATGGTTTTGTGGGGTTTTCCTTTTAAACCAACCAATTTACTTGTTCAACTGACATATGGGTTTGGACAGATAACTTTACTGACCTTCATATTTATAGACTCACCAGCCATGTTACACTGTTCTTTATGTGCAGTCCATCTACCTATACTGTACTGTACCTTCACTGTAGCACACCTCTGACCTGCCCCTCTCATTGGTGTTTGTTTTCCCAGGAAGAGATAGTGTGTACTGCCTATGTGACAGCCCTCTATCTCAAACAGAAAAACTTCAACAAAAAAGTATACATCGTTGGAGCTTCAGGGATCACTCAAGAGCTGGATAATGTGGGAATTGCACACACAGGAATTGAGGTATGTTATATTTAGTACAGTACCTGGTAACTGTATTGTTTTCAGTAGATACAATATTTAGGGTTTTCTTTTTTCTTACAAGCCTTCTGACAGATGCTGATCCCCTGATTCTGTTACCATTCTCACCTATCAGGGTGGTTATTCCACTGTTGGCAATGTATTCATTTTACAGTTAAGTGCCCATAAGCTAAATCCAATTTTTTTTGTATGGCTCGGTTGTCCTGATTTGATGAATAATTAATAGTTTGTACAGTACTGCAGTGTAGTTCATTATACTGGGCCAGTCATTTCAACCATAATTGCTTTTATAAGATAAGGGGGAAATTTAGAAAGTACCTGTAGTCTTAAGACCATGCTCCAGTCCTACTGAATCTGGAATACCGGGTATTTAATGGACACTCTTTACTTGGAAGATATGTAGTAATCAATACTCTATACCTTTATTGTATTTTATTCCTACTGCAGCCTGAACCTTTTTCTGGGGACGTCTTTGACTTGAAGGATACATTAAAGTTGGATCCTGAGGTAGGGGCTGTAACCGTTGGTCTGGATCCTTACATCAGCTTCCCTAAAGTCATGAGAGCTGCATCATACCTCAGTGACCCAGATTGTTTATTCATAGCCACCAACACTGATGAAAAATTCCCTCTCAGTTCTAGCAATCTTGTAATGCCAGGTAAGATATATTTGTAACTTTATATACATACTGTACCTGTGTAACTAAGTGTGATGTTTGTGTTATTTACGACAGGTAAAGCATTCAATTTAAGTCTTAATTACCAACAGGATTTCTTGTCAAACTAGAGGATTTTTGTTTTTTTCTGTACAATAAAGGAAAGTGTGTATGACGTGATGAGAAAGGCACAGTTTAATATTATTCTCCAGCATTAACTTGAAAGTGAAGATGTTTAACTTGTTGAGTAGGTTAATTCAGTACAGGTACAGTAAACCCCTGCCCTCTCGGACCCCCACAATTCTCGGATAGGGGATTGGCCTCGGACACTTTTTCTTCCATCTCTGACAATATCTGAAATAAATGTACAGTACAATAGTGGATATAATGTGGATGTTCGGTGGAGATTATGTGAATATGTAGGTAAGTTCAAGTAAGTTGCATCCATCATCAGTGTTATTGCATTTGCTTATCATCATAAATAACTCATTATTTCTATATGTTTAACTAATTATTTCTATTATTTACATTATACAGCTCCTCCCCGACTTACAACCACCCGCACTTACGACCTGCCTCGGTCGTACCAAAATTTGGTCAAATTACGTATTTTCGAGTCCCAAAGTCAGTACACAGACAAAATTTTCATCTGTAATTCTCTTTAAAATGGCTGGCAAGCTTAAAAGTTAGAATTTTGTGGTGCTGAGAAGAAAAAGAGACCCCCATTTTCGATTTTCTATGTGTTATTTAAGCATTTCCGACTTACGACCTGGATGTCGGTCCCTAACCCCGTCATAAGTCGGGGAGGAGCTGTACTGTAATTCATAATTAGTACTGTAATATGTTTGTACAATGCCTTATCGTCCATTCATAATATCTTGAGAGTAACTGAGTGAGAATATGTGATACTACCGCAGTATCCACATGAATAGTAGATGATGTGCTGCTTGTGTTGGCATTTATTGAGGGCGAGGGAAAACTATATTTTTATCAGCTTATCAAGTGTCTTCATTTCATATTAAACTTTTATAAACTTTTTTATTGAAACATGAGTATAGTACAGTATTAAAAATATTTAATGCTTCTCTAAGAAATTAAATATTAAACACATATTTAATGTTTTTACACTAAACGCAATGAGGATATGACCAGTGAGTAGAATAAAGTAATAAAGTCTTTGGACACCACTTTTTTCTCTCTTTTTTGTTCATTTTAACACTAATTCCATCATTTCAAAACACTTTTTAACAAATTTTATGTTTACTATACTCAATGCATTGTAGTCCATCCATAATGTCTTGAAAGTAGCTGAGTCAGAACACGTGATGTGGCTGCTGTGTCCACGTGATCAGCTGATGAATACAGTGGTCCCTCAGTTAACAAGCACAATCCGTTCTAGAAGGTTGCTCGTTAACCGAAACCATTGTTTCAATGGGTTTTTGGGTAATTGGTTCCAGCTCACCGAAAATTGCCTAAATTCAACAAAAAAGGTAGAAAAGTACACTTACTTTTAGGTGTGTGTGTAGAAGGCTCCTGGATGATGATGATGATGATGATGGGAATTAGAATGGGGGTGGAGGAGAAGCGAGAAGAGAAGTCACCCCATGGCGCCATTTCACCCATAAAATTTTAGTTCTCTTGGTGTAATTCAAGATTATTTTCTTTAAATCAACACTGCACTGCATTATATATTGTCAATATGTAATATAAATTTCAAAATGACCAATAATTTGCTTGGAAACACAGAAAAAAAGCGTTTAGTTGAAGAAAGTCTCAAGCAAGATGTTACCTCCACTAAAAAGACACAAAGACTGACGCCTGTATGGTGTGTTGAGAGGCTGGATGGCATGCATAAAACTAGTTTCATTACCTTCAATTATGTTCAGTAATTGTTAAAATGACTAAAAAATTTAATATTAAACTTTTAAAATTATTGAATAGTATAAACTTCTTGATATTTGCTAAAATGGTAAGGAATTTAAGCCCTAGAACCGATTACTGTATTGGCGGACTAATACTACAGCTGGTGGACCGCCAAATGCAAGCGAAAACATGTTCTGGTCGGCTCGTAAGAAACTCGTTAATCGAGGGATTGCTTGTTAACCGAAGTTAAGAATCTTATGGAAGGTAACTCGTTAACCGAAATCTCGTTAACCGAGGCGCTCGTTAACCGAGGGACCACTGTATTATCAATAATTTTCTATACAAATTGTCCAGTTACATTGTATTTGTTGTATGTATTGCTCTTTATAATGAATCTCTCAGGGTAGTTGACGCAGACTTTCTTGAACCTAGGTTGGACTCGGACTAATTTTCCTATCTCAGGCTTAATTGATTTTGGACCTAGGTTAGACTCTGGTTTACTTGGAAAATCAGCATTATCGGATTGCCCTTTCCCCCAACTAGTCTGAGTTGGAGAGGGTTTACTGTAGTATATGTGAGAAAACAAAGTCTAGATGGTTTATGGGATGCAAGTATAATTGAGAAGACAGGCTGTCTACTGCTCTGGAAAACCTGGAAAAGCAAGGGAATTTTACAGATAAACCTGGAATTTTATGTGAATTCTGCTCAACTTCAAAATATTGTTATTTTGACAGCAATCTTACCATAAATTAATGGTGTACTATATAATAGGTAAATAATTAAACTTTTAGGAACAAATTGCAGTAAACAGTCCACTCTAATAACTGAATTGTTTGTGTACCTGTCATATTTCATGTTAGGGATCAAATAACCAAATATTACAGGTTAAAAATACTAATTCTGCAATGAGTATTGTCAGAAATGAATTGTTCTTATGATTAAGTGACTTTATTTAAGTGGTTTATTCCACATATTAATCATGAGTCATATAGGTAGATTAGGAGTGTGATTTTTTGGTTTTTGCCAGATTTCCAGCTTTTGGGGAGTGTCCAAGTTGACCCATGTGAACCGCATTAATCCGAGGAGAAAAATATGAAGTGGGGTGTCAAGGTTTTTTTGCCTATGTTCATCACTAGGCTTGGGGTGGGTGGCAAATTTGTCAAATTTACACCTGGAAAACCTGGAAAAGCCAGAGAATTTTTGTTTCTGGCCAGTAGACACCCTAGAAGACTAATTACAAACATCATGCAACAGTCATTATCCAGATTGATCACTTGAATTACATTTTTTTTTCCCAAATCCTTATTTAATGTAGTGAAAAGTACCGATGGTGAGGTTTTTAAGGAAATAAATTTTGACAGAATTTGCCTAAGTGGTAAAACACTGTAGAGTAACACATTAGGTTAGATCAGTCAAACTAGGTTAATACAGATGGGATTATGGGAATCAATGACAAAAGCTAATGGAAGGTGAGGAGAACATTTTGAGCAGCTCCTTAATGTAACAAATGAGAAAGAAATGAAGTTGTCCTGTTTAGGATTTGAAGTATTTAAGAGCATTAATGTGAAAGATGAAAAAATCATAAGAAGAAGAGAGAGAATTTGGGAGACTTATGAAGCATTTTCCAGACTTTCTTATTTATAAATTTTATATCTAAATGTCATGCCTGTACTTTTCACTCATCAGAGAAAAAGTTGCTTGAGAATTACAGTAGCTACACAGTTACAGTTATTCCACTAATTAGATTGCATTTCCCAATATTCAGGGGCAGGTGCAATTGTTAAATGTGTGGAGACAGTTGCTGAGCGTTCACCAGTAGTTATGGGCAAGCCTTCGGTAAAGATGTTTTCTTCCATAAGGGACCAATACCAACTGGACCCCTCACGCACCCTCATGATTGGAGACAGGTCAGTTTACTTTGTATTCATTGTTACAAAGTTTTCAGAAAAAATTATATATTTCTAAAT